GCACAGATGAGCAGAAACATGACATTGCTTTGATAATTTCAAATATGCCAGTTCTCTTTTTCTATTAGTACCCGGCGTCTTCAGCTTGTCTTCAGGGCTTTTCTTCCCGTTTGTTTTGCATCTTCTTTGGTGGCAGCTTCCTGTGGTGGGACATAAGCCACTTTAGCAGTCACTCGTGTGAGCGCTTAATTATTGTGAGTTGATCTCTAATTGAAAATGTCCATGTGCATCAAATGTAAAAGTGAATGCTGCCACTAGATGGACTGCCACGCTCAGAGATGATTGTAACTGATTGTCAGAGTTTTAGTGTGGAAGATCACATTGAAAGCTGTCCCTCTGCCTGTCATTTCTAAGAATACTAATGGTGGTTTCTGTTTGGAAATCCGACAGGTTATTATCTCTTTAAAGAGATGGACCCAAGAGAGAATAGGTTATGTCTTATCACAGATTACACCCTGAGGACCAGACATATGTATCAAGTAATGGATCACACGTTTTAAATGCATAATATCAGCTTAAATCACAGGGCTGGATCAGCCGGCTGTGAACACCATGTTATCGCAACACATGGGGAACAGTAAAGTAGATCATAACAAATGGAAGGGAGGGATGTGAAAGCAAAAAAATAGTGGTTGGTAATAAAATCCTGTACCACAGAGCTCCATGGTGGCGTAGTTTTTGGGACAGATGTTCAACCTGTATTTTATAACCACTCCTTCTCATGTCCCCTCCCTACTGTCCGTCTTTGACTCAAAGCAAGGCCTCGTACAGCCACAAATAAACAGTAGGACTAAATCCCCGATGTCTGACAATACATTGTCAAAGTCAACTTTATTGTCAATCTTGCAGTTTGTGTGTACAGACAGAGATCGAAATACCGTTTCCCACAATCCCGAATATAAAAACAAATGTAAATAAAAATAGGCGTGCAAATATGTGTGTGTATATATATATACACAGAATCAAAGACACATTTTTACATGAACTAGTGGACAAATCAATTAGGCCATCAACAAAAAAATATTTTTATAATCAATGTATCGATTTAAACGAACTTTGTTTGTGATTTCCTCCTTTTTTCTGTTTTTATCACAACAACTAAACTAATAATATCTTTGGGTTTTGAACTGATAAAACAAGACTCAATTTGAAAGGCATCTTATTTGACTTTTTTGAGGGAGATTTTTTTATATTTTCTGAATTCTTTTAGATCCAATGATTCCTCAATGAATCAACCCTTCTCATGGTATGTATTGTCATATTGCTCTTCCCTATCAACATGTGTGATAAGAGTTTGCAGCCATGCTAGCTGCCAGGCTCCATGCGTCCGAGTTTCCCATGGGCAATAGTTTTACTTTCTTTACATATTTATTCTTAAACCAAATTATGAAAAGTACCAGATGTTGGTGTTAAACTAGGGCTGCACGATTTGGGGAAATAATCTAATTGTGATTTTTCTGACAGATATTGCGATTCGATTTGCGATATTTGTTTTTAAGCGACCCAACGGAAGTTTATTGTAAAATGCGGCCATATCTCCGGCTAGGAAGGTCGTATCAACGTACTCCGGTCTCTAGCAGCCCGAGCTACGAGTGGAAAGAACTAAACTTACATTAAACTTCAGTTTAAGATCCACCCTGTAATAGAAACATGTGATGGAGCATTACTAACCTGACTCAGACGGTTTGTTTCACAATAATCGCATCATTTCAAATCGCGATTAATCGCTCAGCCCGATGTCAAACCTTGGCAAACACAAGTCAGCATTACTATCTGTGGTCTGGTGGGCACGCCCTCCCCCGACCCTACAAACATAGTTTAGGATGGACGTGGGGGAAAGCTGCAGGGAAACATAAAGGTGCTCTGATGGTTATACATGTGGAGGGAAGCACAGTTTCATGTTTTTTTTATACCCTCAAATAAATCTTTGTCAGAGATTTAATCTGAAAAGATAACAATCTTTGATTCTTTAGTCCATGCGGCAGCACCGGCTCTGTGTTATCAGAACATATTTGACTTCATTTTCTCCACTGATTCTCTTTTCAATTCAGCCGAGATATGAAGAGGAGAAAACAGATGAAGTGTAACAAAGATTATTGAGCCACATGTTTCAGGTAGAAAGCCGGATCCCACGGAGAACTCTATTAGTATTCAGCTTTTATCTCATCACACAACACAAAGAGAAGAAGAAGACTTGATCTCCTCACGGCAGATGCACTGCCGGTATCATTTATATGGACGGCATTCTCCTACGATAACTAAAAGAGATCATTTCCTTTATTCGACCAGAATTGTATTGAAACTCTTTAACCTTGAGCTGTAAATAAAGAACAGATTTAGAGGATGCTGGCTTCTGTTTTATCTGTTCCTTAATGAAGATGAAAGATACTCTAATAGCCTAAACAAAGAACAGCGGTGTGCTTTACCTCTGCAATTAAACACACTTTTTTAATAGTAAACTGATTAATTTCTTTAATCAAAGACCGCTTTATCCTTGAAGTGCAGTCAGTTTTAATTATTCTGAAACGCACCACCGGAGCTGCTGTTTACAGCTGCGTGGAAATCTGAACACACTTTATAATGAATAGATGATAAAAGATGGAATGAGTTTTTACACGGAGAGTCTAATTTCAGATTATCTTCCCACAACAGTTTATGTAGACCTGCACTTTATAATGACACTATTCTTCACCAGCTCCCCCCCCCGTGTGCTCGGTTTTATTGACATGTTTCCCTCTCAGAGATGTTGTGTTTCCATCCCAGGTCGTGTGTCTGACAGGCGGCGGGGGGGAATGATTCCTTGACAGACAGCCGAGAAACTGCTAGGATTTTGAGTCTGGATTTAGGGGTTGATTTATCAACCAAAACTACATGAGTTGAAAACCATAGACTTGATGCCAAATCCTAATGGAATAATGGCAAGGACAAGAAAAACATTTAACTTAGAATGTCACTATAGGGATAGCAGCGTTTGGAGAATGAGCCAACGGGTTTCTTTGCTCTACTATCGCTCTCCTCAGCTTCCTCATTAGATGATCATTTAAACGCTGGCTTCGTGGCATGTCATTTATCAAGCATGTTAACAAAGTGCTTTTACGCTGCGACTCCACAACAAATTGCTCTTTCTGCGTACTCCGTGTTATCGACAACACTGTTGCCAGTAATTGCTGTATGAATGTAATATTCTGCCTAAAGAGCAGCTCAGAATTGTGTCTCTTCTTTGCAAATGACTGCGGCGTTGATTTGATTATGCACAGGAAAATGCGACCCCCGCTCTGATTGAGGCTTATTGTACTGCCTTGAACTATGTGTGCTGCCGCTGCACAGTTAACGCCTCCATGCCTTGAATCTAATGTCAATTCAGCTGTGGGAAAGGTGCGCTCTGTGCAGTTGTGGTGCCTTATGTAGGTCAATTCTTCTTCTGCATTCACCGCTTGGTCTTGTGATGAGTGATCTCATTTGGCAAGGGAACTGTGGTTTTATTATTCATACTCCAACAGAGATTGGAGTTGCGGTGCATTAAAGTATGACGTTGTCATTTCCCCCGCTCGCAGAACTGTTATTCCCTTTGCCCCAAATAGAAATTAAACTCTACATTTGATGCTAGCTCTAATTGTTTTATTCTCGCATTCACAAAACTCCAGTTAAGCCTCATCTCTCTGGACGTACAGTACGCCGTTTCATTGATTGATTTTCTTTGCAGCCCCCTCAAACTGCTGTTTAAGTCATTTCTCTGCAGCTTGCCATTTTAGCATTCGGGAGTCTTTTCTGTCACAGAAGTGGCTTTTCTCCCTTCAGATTGAATGCATATTGGTCTCTGCATTTTCTAATTAGCTTCAAAATGGATCTGAACTGCTACACAGATTTTCTGCAATGAAGTACCTTAACACAATAGGTGAGTAGCGTGAAATTGACCTCTGAAATGCAGAAGTTTAAGACGCTTGCATTGCACTGAAGACAGCTATTGAGTGAATTCAAACTAAATGGATTCTATTTGGGACTCTTTCCGCAGAATGGGTAATGCTCTAATGCCCTAAATATCGCCTCATGGAGGTTGCACTTTAACGGCTGCTGGATAATCAGCAGCCAAGATAGACTCTCAACTTTTCTTCGGAGCAGTTTCTCCCCATTTGTTGCTCCAAAGCAGCGTGTGTTCCCATATATCTTTTGGGTTGTGTCTCCTCTGTTGATCTAATTGGATACCCTCTGTTGGCTACAATGAATCATGGCTGCTCTTCTCTCCTCTCCTCCAGTACTTATTGTTATTGAATGCCGGGATCCCCTGCATCACAAGGCTCAACCTTAAAACTTGTATTTGTCCCTTGGCTCTAAGCATTGATCTTTTTTCCTTCTTTTTTTTAAATCGCCTTGTCCGTATCACTTTTATTCCAGCAGAAGATTATGGGCTAGCTTTTATGTGTCCCTAGAGAGAAGCCAGGAGTTGTGGCCAGGCTCCCCTCTGCACTAATTGACTCCTAATTTGGCAAATGCATTTTAAGGTGGAATGAAATAGCTGACCCCTCTTAGTGTTCATGCATGGGCATGCCACTTGCACCCCCCCTCCCGGTTTTACTATTGTTACTTATCTCTCCTCTGCCCTCTACTCTTGACCTCTACTGATGCAGAGGAGGCTCTGCTGCAGCACGGGGACTTCAGTGGTGACATATTTGGAACTGAGGTGATGGGATGGAGGCTTTTTGGCATGCACCCCATGACTTTTGGGAAAGAAGTTTAAATCCTGCCAGTTCTCAGGCTCTTCAGCACTCGGCTGCTGATCCACACTGCAAACACCTCCAGGAAAGGGGCTCTCGCTGAGCCGATCGAAGGCAACGATTTTTGTAATTACTCGCCTGCTGCTGAATGGAAAGGCACGAGTTTTGCCTGCGGGTATCAGTATCGACTTGAGTGTATGATGTTTTAATGAGCCTGGCGTGTAAATGATTTGTTTCGGTTGTGTTATTCATGAAAGCTAATTTGATGTTTTTCTCCTGTGTTCTCAGTGGATGGATTCTCAGTTGACTTGGAGGCAGATTTAAGGATTTTGAGACAGCAGGATGTCAAAGATCTCTAAGGCAGCTAAGGCTGTGAAGAAAGTGGATGCAGGCAGTTTAATCCGGGCTATCGTGAGGTCAGGACAAGCGGCCCCTGGACCCCCACTCGGCCCCGTCCTCGGACAGGTAAAATCACTTCCCGTTCTATCTGTTCGCTCCCAGTCATTCATTAAATTGCAGTAGCAGGGCTTCATTTTGTCAGCTGACTTTCCGTAAACAGGTCTCATTAACCGTCACACAACCTGATCCTATTTTCACTTTGCCCATCACATAGTTCCCTCTCTCTCCTCTCTCTGTCAACTCATTGTAAAACCTCAGCACCACATCCATCTCCCCTCATACCACTATTCATATTCCCATTCTTATTCTGCTCGCACAGCTCCATGGTGCAGGTGGGGGCCGCTCTCTGCTTCAGGCTGCAACTATTTTCTCACAGTTTCCAGGCCAAAGACACTAACGCCTCCATCCACAGCAGCTGTCCGTTTACATTAGCCTCACGCTTTACAAGCCAGTCGATGAAACGGCACTAAACCTGTGAAGGTTTTGTCTTAAATTCTTGTATACTTCTGCCGCACTTGCTCCGGAGAGACAGCTGAGGTTTTCTTGTGTTTTATTGCTCAGGGATGCACCACTACCAATGTGCCCATTCCTACTATATATATACAGTATATGTATACGCAGACCTCAAGCGTTGAGCAATGGAGAAAGACGGGTTGTTTCAAAATAACTAAGTCTATCCTTCCTTTTGTTGCTTAACTATGAAAATGCTGATGCTGTGTTGATTAACCTCATCTGTATTTCTATCTGTTTTAAAGCTGTGCTGTAAAACTTTTATATTATTTTACACCATAAACACACAACCTGCTCCCGCTGTTATGGTGGTTCAGCTGTTTAACTTTGATAGTCCTTCGTGAGACTGACTGAAAGCAAGCATCTGTCTCGTTCTGTACATACAAATGATCCAGTGAGGCTCTTTAATGGACAGTGCTCATCAGCCTTGACTGCTGTTGCACGCTTTGAGACCAGATCAATTCTCACAGTTCATCCATCTCCGTGACTTAACGACGACGCTCGGAGAATGGGATGGAAAAATGAACAAATCTGGCAGGAAAGAGCTACACACTATTAACAATGTCAGGAAAAAGCAAATGTTGGATGTCAGAAAGGAGTTGGATGATGTGAAAACATCATATTTTTCTTTTTCGATGTTACAGTGTGGGTACTTTATGTTTTCTTTGTTCAAAATGACGTACGCTGCCGTCACCAGCTCAACTATTACATAAAGTAAATTAATTGCTACCAGACTGGGAGTTATTTAGTTCTCCGAAATACTGCAGTTATAATTAGTCTTAAACCCATTTCTGTTTGAATGTTCTCTGTATTGATCCACACATACGATTTGATATTATTCGTATTATATTCACATATTTAGGCTTCAATTAACCTTTTCTTTAATGATTAATTTGCTGATTACTTTTTGGATTATTCTTTTGCTCTAGATAACTATAACTCAACTCTGAACCTACCCTCAGCTCTACAAAGCATTTCATTGTCTTTAAACTAATACTTTAGATTTCTCTGCCCACAACTTTTGGATGTATAACTGGATACAGCGTTGGAGGCGGTGCCCCATCACTCCTCATAGAGTTGCTCCGGGGTCATCCCGCCTCCGATCCACAGGGTCTCAGCTCACTAAGATGAACGGAGAGGGAAAATAACCCTGGATTCGGGCTTTAGTGCATTTTACAACTTTAAGGCCCTAATGATTTAAATAAGGGCTTTAAAACTAAACTGTAACTAATGTCCTGCAGGTCACCCTTGAAAAAGAGATCTTTTGATCTCAAGGGGCTTTCACCTGGTTAAATAAAGGCTACAAACAAAAGTGTTCGCGCTGGGTAGTTTATTTAGCTCAAAAATGATTGTAGGCTGATTTACAGACATCCCTTTCCCAATCTTAGGCCGTTTCTCAATGTCGAGTATACCTGCTGCAGAGCCACTATTTCAAGAATACTACGTCATCGAGTGGCGCCGAATGCTGTGCATTTAACATGCATTTACACAGTCCTTCGGTGCCACTCGATGACGTAGTATACTTGAAATAGTGGCTCTGCAGCAGGTTTACTCGACATTGAGAAACGGCCTTAGTCAATGGGAGGAAGTATTTCTGGGCTCAAATGACGTCAGACTAGAATATGACCGTAGTACCTCGGTTTGGCCTTTTACGACAAACTTGCTTCAGCAGCCGGCGCTCTACCTGGGGGCTTTTTTTTTTTTTTTACCCGCTGTACACTACCTTCTCGGGAACATGGGACAATAACGTTAGGGACACTATGCTTAACATAGTGGAGCATTATACTTGTATCTTATTATATTAATTATACTATTATTATCGTAATGTCCACAGTAATGACTCTTACATGTCTAATATGTGTAATTGTAAAGCGCTTTGAGCACCTGTAAAAGCGCTCTAATAAAAAATGTAATGCATTATTATTATTATATAAGGGTCCATTTTAGAGGCGGCAGTGGCTCAGTCTGTAGGGACTTGGTCTTGGAACCGAAGGGTCGCTGGTTCACGTCTCGATCGGACCACAACACATAATATGGAGTGAGCTGGTAGCTGGAGAGGTGCCAGTTCACCTCCAAGGCCACTGCCGAGGTGCCCTTGAGCAAGACACCTAACCTCGAAACTGCTCCCTTGGCGCCGGGTACCTGGCAGCCTCTCTGCTCTGCCACCTCTCCTATCTGCATGTGGTTGTGTGTGTGTATGTATATCCTCTGTGTTTCTGCATGTATATCCTCCCCTGTGTGTAATGTGTGTAAACACAACAGAGTGGGGAAATGTTTTCCCTGTAAGGGATGAATAAAGTATATCTTCTTCTTCTTCTTTAAATTAGTGGTAATGTTGCTGGGAAACTGCTGAATCTGTAAATAGACAACTGTTAACTAACATATTCCCTCTTTTAAAATAAGTTTCCTCTCCTTCGAACAGTGGTAGTGGAAATACTCTGATCTTTCACTTCAGTAAAAGTACTAATACCACACTGTAGAAATACTCCAATACAATTAAAACATCTTACTTGAAAGTGAAAGTATGTGAGTATAATCGGCATGATGTAGTTAAAGTGCAGTAAACTGTTCCCTGTCAGTGTTTTAATATTATATATGATGTCGGGTTAATATCACTGCGTCGTTAAAGGGTATGTTGCATTTTACTGCTGGATGTTTAAGGATGAGCATTTGAACTCATTTATTAGTGTTGGGTTGTTACATTTACAGCTATATTAAATAAAATCAACTTGTGTTCAGTGTAGCTGCCCTCTGAGATCCTCGCATCTTTTCCCAGGCATTTGTAAATAGTTTATTCAGCTTAAGTTTCTCAACACACAAAGGAACGTTAATCTTTCAGTCTATCACACATCTAGTGTCGTCACTCAAAACCCACTTGTTCAACAATGCATTCAACCACTTTGAATGCATCTCTTTTTGTATTTTTCTTGTTATTTTTTATTCTCTGTCAAAGCGTCCTTGAGTGTCTAGAAAAGCGCTATACAAGTATCATGTATTTATATATATTATTATTATTAGTGTATAAGTGAAAGTGCCCTAGAGCGGAAATACATGTACAATTACCTTGAATTTGACCTCCAACACAGTACTTGAGTAAATGAAATGAGTTATATTCCACCACTGAGTGAACAAAAACATCAATGAACTCATGTATTAGTTAAACAGAGTGTTAACACAGGCAGATATCTTATTCTCTAGAGTCCTGCAGGCACACAGAGGTCATATCCTTTGAAATGATGTTTGACAGTGACCTCGCCTTTTAATGAAAAATGCAACGAGTAGTTCCAGTAATGATTCTTACAGTTGGAAAACATCCACGTTTCTCCAGTAATGAGAGGGGGGGAGGATCTGTGCTTTAATCTAATCCCATTTCACCATCTCTCATTCTCTCTGAAAAATACAGCAGCCAGAGTTTTAACTGCTGAAATGTCTCAAAAATAAGCTTTTTGCATAATATGGTTCACCTTTAACATTGGCAACAACATGTTTTTTTATAGCACATGCACACTAATTGACAGACGGAGGGAATAATTGTAATGCCACTCCCAATGGACATACATATAAACTCCAAAATAAAGTAGAATTCATACATTTTTGAACAATTCTCCCTTTCTCTCGCATCACATAAAATACAGTGACACAGTGACAGAGTGCTGAAATGTCGGCATCAGTGGGTGTGAGTGATATCTAAGGGTGTTTTCAACCCAACTTACACGGTTTCGCTCTCTTAAAGATACCCTAGTTGGAATGATAATTTTGCATTGTCTGATTTATGGGACAGCTCAAGATAACAGGCAAGAATAGGAATAGTGGTTTCTTTCATATCCTCGACAAGTATGCGGTGTGATCTTTACCGCCTGTTTTTGTTCCTCAATTTCACCTTTGAATAGTTGTTGCTCACCGTGTCCTCTACGGATATTCTGTTTCAAGTGCGTTAAATCATTGATTTGTCCCATTTGGAGTTTTCTTTGAGACAACATTTCGTTTTGTTTATTTCTGAAACAATTTCTCATGTTTATTTGTCTTTAACCTCCACATTTTTGTTTTTTTCTAGTCTTATGTAATATTATTCTGGGGTGGACCTGTTCTACATAACTTACATTTGATTTTTTTTAAAGTATGTTTAGATGCTAGGAAACATTCAACATCGATTCTGACGGCCTTCAGATCAGTAGTAGTACGTTCAGTGTTATTAGGTTTTCCTTCTTCGTCGTTTCTTGTTCCTACACTTTGGAGATCCTGGATCAGCTTCCTGTGTATCCTTCCTTATTTCCAAGAGCATCAGACACACAGCTGTCAAACTCAGTTCATTCAAAACAGCCTACACAAGTACTAATGCATTAATAATGGGTTATCTCATATATATCATTTCAAATGTGGAAATGGTGGAAATCCAAACACCGTGACGACCTCCTAACCTATCAGGCTCTCCTCTCCTCTTTCTCTGCTTCGATCTCTCAGGCAAAAAGCACTTTCTTTCAAGATAAGATCCAATCTTCCTATTCCAATCCCAAAAAACTATTTTCCATCTTCTCCTCCCTCCTGGACCCCCCCCA